AGCATTCCAATCGCAATGGGTAAGTCGGTAAAAAAATTTTCCCTTTCTTTTCCATCAGGGAGATGTACTGCAATAGTGAGACGCAGGAAGCGTCGATAAAGGTTTCTTTGCATGCCGCATAAATTGACATGTTTCCCGTCTATCAAGGACGGTACCACTTAAGTTAAAAGCAGCTATGAATATTTGATTTTCGTATGTTTTTTACGTAGCATTTTTATGGCTAATTTCTACTCCAGTTCCTTGTGAAATTAGGTCTTATTAAAATGTAACTATTTAATAATAAATAGCATTTAAAGTCACATGTTTCTATGATTTATCAGATCCTCGATGTTTCTGTTCCAATGTGTATGCAGTCAGCTACTGCGCCCATTCCCCGCACCAGTTAATAAACTAGCCCTGACACTGGCTGGGGCCCTATGAATAGTGCTATATAATGAAGTCTACAGCTCAGTGTACTTTTCTCGCTATAAACAACCTACTCTACGGGATTAATTTTATGAGCAAAATGAAAATGGTTTTATGTTCAGTTCTGCGAGTGCTGCAAACAAAATTCAAGACGAAATGTAACTTGATAGTCTGGCATATAGTTGGACAGGTTATTTTGATCAACTGAGTGGATTTGATAATAAGAAGGGCTTTGGTTTGGAAAACTGCCCTCTTATTTAGAGTTATTGGGGGAAATAGGCTCTCACTTTTGCTAAATCATGAGTATGTTTATGTAAAAGGAATTCCGTAAATCCAACCCTCGACCTCCTCGCCGGTGGTTCGCAGGCAACGTGGGGAAACTCACGGCGAACAGAGGGCAATGGCAGGTAACACCGGGGACGTCATCTATAGCAAAATCCCCAAGAAACTTCATGGACAATACGAATATCACGAATCTCAATACGGCTACGGCGTCCCCGGGAAGCGACGCGCTTCGTGGTCTTCTGGTGCCCGGAGTGCCAAATATGCTAGCCAGTGCTCTCAACTTTAACAATGCTACGGCGTCCCCGGGAAGCGACGCTCTCCGTGGCCGTCTGGTGCCCGGAATGACAAATATGCAAGCCAGTACTGTCA